ACCTATTTTATAACCCTAAAAATAATTTACACAAGGAAGAATGATGCTTACCGTTGGTGTGTTTTCCTCTCTACTGTAAAGAATAAAAAGAGAAAAATTTCCAGCAACTAGGAGAGCTTGAAATGATGATGGAAACCTTAGAAAATGGATATGAACATGCTTAGGTTCTATAAAAATGTTGGGAAAAATTACTCACCAATAATATTTTCCCCTTCCACAGTTCGTCAGTGAAAACTAAGTCACACACAATACTAAAAAAAATAGGGAAAGCACAGAAAACGACACAAGCAATTTATACTGGTTCACCCCAACTATGGGCTACGTCCAGTCTACCGCAACAACGGGTTCTACTATGATTTTGGGATAAATACAATGGATCTCACAAACGCTCTACATAACTCTCTCTAGATGCCACAACAATGGTTACCTAGCTTCTAAGCACTACGACAATAGCTACTTAGGAATACAGAATGAAAAACCTCACTAACCTCACGAGAACGGGCTGCCGACAAGGCACTACAGATCAAGTTCTCGTTTTGTTCTCTACCAACTCTACTTGCCTCCACTGCCACGTTTGTGCACCAACACAAAACCTTCGATTCCCACGGTCAAAATTTTAGAGTAGACGACTAGCAACAAAAAGTTTTGTTATAAAACAAAACTTAAAGACAAGTAAGGTAAATTAGGCTTTAATGTGTATTTAGGCCCAATTCCTTCCTTTTAATTTGTATTTGTTTTGGCTCCATTCATTTTCCCAACAATCTCCCACTTGGAGACAAAGCAACAATTTTGCCTTCCACTGCAACAACAGTGTCCCTCATGACTCAGTTCTAACTGCACCAACAGATTCTAACTGATCAACATCCTCTTAGAACCAACCAACGCTCAACTCCCATTGCACCGACAGTTTCAAACTTCTTTTTAGCACCAACCAAGGCTCCATCTGTGATTGCCCTGAGACAAAGCAATCCTACGTGGTCTTGTCTCCTAGACATTAGAGACATAGTTACGTGCTCCAACTCGAACTAAGTGATCTCCAACGCTTCCTTCTTCACTCGCACCCAACGACTCTTGAAGGAAAGCTTTTTCACTGATGACTTGGCACTTCCACCCAAGTTCGTTGCCACCCTAGAGACTTCACCATCGACCTCAACACCAACTGTAATCTTTCTCAATGCACTCTTTCACGTACGCGACTTCATCAGCTCGCTAATCCGTCTATCAACTGGGGCTCGAAACTGACAGTTTGTTGAACACCTCACTGAGTTGTTCCCATTTTGCTTTCCTCTACTTCCCAGCTGTTGTCCTTGAACTAATGGCAGATTCCCCTGATCTGTTCTGACTGTCAATGCTGCTAGTTCTTTCAAGTCTCCCCCTGAACTATTTGCAGCCCTGTGCATAATATGTTTCTCTAATCCTCTAGCAACATTAAACCTCAACACATACACTGAAGCTTTTCTGTGGCCAACAACTACTACCTCGGATCCCCTCATGAGTTTCCATCTGTTCTTTGCAAACTCACTTCTGTAGCCTTCGTCATCCAGCTTCTCCGTTGATATCAAATTCATCCTGAAACTACCTGACATCATGCAGTATTAACTCAGTCCCACTGTCAGTCCTCAGATGTACCTCTCCAATTCCTCTGACCTTGGAGAGTCTACCATTCCCTGTTCTCACCATGCCATGACTGCCTGTAGTGAGAGATGTGAACTAACTCTGTCTAAAGATACATGCACCGATGCTGCACTGTCCACTACCCTTTTTGATAACTGGTCTACAGGTATCGTGTTACCCTCAATACAAGCTAACACCTCCGCTGACACGTAATTTAGAGTGTCCTCATTTTCCTGATCCTCCTTAAGCTTCCTGCAGTGTTTCTTAAAGTGGCCTTTCTTATGGTAGTAAAAGCATTCAACTTCTCCACTGGAACTCTCACTACCCCTGTTATTCCTATGTTCTTACTTCCCGTTGTACTTCATCTTGCCATTCCCTTTAAACTGAGCTACCAAAGTTTATTCAACCTCATTTCTGCCCCTGAAGTAGATGCAGACATTTTCCCTAATTTTCTACAAACTTCCTCAGATAAGGCGTCATCACAAATAGCTGAAAATTTCAAGCTATTTTCTCATAGCGAATTGGACACCGCGATCTTCATCGTCTCCCAACTGTTAGGCAAATATGTCAACAGTCTCATAGCTTTCACCTCCTCTTCAATCTTGACACCCATCACTTCTAACTTGTTCAAGATATCGGTAAGCTCGTTAATGTGGGAATTCACCGAGATTCCCTCCTCCATGTGGATATTAAAATACTTCGTCCATAGAAATATTTTTGTATTGGCAGAAGTTTTTCATACCTGTCTTGTAAGGCCTTCAACAACTCTTTTGCAGTTGTCTCTTTCGCCACGAGACTACATACCCCCATTGATAGTGTCATTCTGATATTTGCAACAGCCTGCTCATCCATCTCATTCCAAGATTTGTCTGTCATATCCGCTGGTCTCTCCCCCAAAGTCTTGTGTATCTTCTTGCACGTAAGAAGATCTTTTACTTGCATCTTCCAAAAACTAAAATTCTCTCCACTGAACTTCAGAACCCCTTCATAGTAATGGTGTACGTGATATTTGTCTCCCATGACTCTGAAACCTACGCTCTGATACCACTTGTTGGGAAAAATTACTCACCGATAATATTTTCCCCTTCCACAGTTCGTCAGTGAAAACTAAGTCACACACAATATTAAGAAAAATAGGGAAAGCACAGAAAACGACACAAGCAATTTATATTGGTTCGCCCCAACTATGGGCTACGTCCAGTCTTTCGCAACAACGGGTTCTACTATGATTTTGGGATAAATACAACGGGTCTCACAAACGCTCTACAAAACTCTCTCTAGATGCCGCAACAATGGTCACCTAGCTTTTAAGCACTACGACAATAGCTACTTAGGAATACAGAATGAAAAACCTCACTAACCTCACGAGAACGGGCTGCCGACAAGGCACTACAGATCAAGTTCTCATTTTGTTCTCTGCCAACTCTACTTGCCGCCACTGCCACGTTGGTGCACCAACACAAAACCTTCAATTCTCACGGCCAAAATTTTAGGGTAGACGGCTAGCAACAAAAAGTTTCGTTATAAAACAAAACCTAAAGACAAGAGGTAAATTGGGCTTTAATGTGTATTTAGGCCCAATTCCTTCCTTTTAATTTGTATTTGTTTTGGTTCCATTCATTTTCCCAACAAAAAATTATTAGGAAAAATCTACCTACAAAACTAGACTAAAAGAAACTATTCTTACCGAAAAGACAAAACTGCGATGAACGATCCTTGAAGGAACTTGGAAAAGCAACCACAACTCCTCTAAGGTGTGATTTAATACATAGGATAGATGATTGGGAGGAAATTTTCAGATTTGTTTACAAATATTCTAGGAGGAAGATGGAAGAAATATACATATGAAACTTAAAGAGGAAAATCTAGGAAGATGAGACAAACTCTCCTCCCTCTCCTTCTTGCATGGCCGAATACTTAATGGGGAAGGGGAGAAATTTTTGGTATTCCCAACAAACTTAGTTAATGAATGTGTCTCTTGGGTGGAAGGTGGGTTATATTGCCTAATCATGGTTAATGGAAGGTAAAACTCTCTATATTCCCCCAATTAAGCTAATTTTAATTAAGGTAGAAAAATAAAGAGTAAAATAAAGGTAATGTGGGGCTTTACTTGGTTAATTACCTTATAATGAAACTCTGGGTAAAATGTGTGAAACTTTATAAATACTCAAATAATTCTACCATTACAATTACCATAATTCACAACATTTATCTAATTACTAAAGTACTATTGCTAATTTTGTTACTTAATTACAATTATAATCTTGCTAATCTTATTAACCTCTTATGCATATTTATTTTTTATTATCATACATAACTAATTAAACATTGATAAGATGAATCAATAAATTTCGTTGTAAGTTTCTTTTGATAACTACATAAAATTAACTTGTGCTTAATTAGTTAGAGCATAAGAAGCCTACAATTATTAACTAAGATGGATTAAAGTTTATTGACATAAAATTGATTAGATTTGACTAGCTTAGCTGAAAGACAATAATAATATAAAGTCACGAAAATACTCTTAAAGGTAATGCAGGGCATTACAATCTACCCTCCTTAAAGGAACTTTCTTCCTCGAAAGTTACCTACGGTTCATAATGGAGGCTCAGATATTTCTCTATAATATCTTTCTCGTTTTCCCACGTTGCTGCAGATACTGAGTGATTCCTCCACATAACTTTCACCACACGAATCTCTCTATTCCTCAGCTTTCTCGTCTCTTTGGCAATGATACATATATGTTTCTCTTCATAAGAAAGATCCTCATTCAGTTGAAGTGGCTCAGGATCTAAAACATGGAAAGGGGACGATACATACTTTCGTAACATCGACACATGGAACATATTATGCATCGCTGACATATTTGGTGGCAGTGCTAATCGATAAGCTACTTGACCAATGCGTTCCAAAATCTTGTATGGTCCGACATTTCAAGGACTCAATTTCCCCTTCTTTCCAAATTGCAAAACGCCTTTCATGGGAGCAACTTTAAGAAACACATGATCTCCTACTTTGAATTCCAAATCCTTACGTCTATTATCAACATAGCTTTTTTGCCTACTTTGAGCTGTTTGCATCGCTTACAAATCAATTGAATAGCCTCATTCGTAGTTTGAATTAACTCAGGTCCTAATAAACTTCACTCTCCCACTTCGTCCCAATGGACTAGTGATCTACATTTCTTTCTATATAGAGCTTCAAATGGAGCCATACCAATAGTAGTTTGGAAAGTATTATTGTATGCAAACTCCACTAGAGGTTGATGTGTATCCCAACTGCCTTTGAAATCTAAGACGCATGCTCTTAACATATCCTCTAGAATCTGATTCACCCGTTCTGTCTGCCCATCTATCTGGGGGTGGAAAGTTGTACTAAATTCTAGCTTAGTGCCCATAGCCTTTTGCAAACTTTTCCAAAAAAGAGGATGTGAATCTAGCATCTCTATCAGACACAATGGAAACTGGAACACCATGAAGCCTTACAATCTCTTTGATATACAAATCTGCCCATTTTTCCACCGTATAAGTAGCTTGACCAGGTATTAAGTGCGCTGATTTAGTGAGTCTATCCACAATTACCCAAATAGTAGTATAGCCCTTAGTAGTCCTTGGAAGACCGGCTATAAAATCCATTGAGATATTCTACCATTTCCATACAGGAACACTCAGAGGTTGCAATAGTCTTGCTGGTTTCTGCTTCTGAGCTTTAACTTGTTGACAAGTCAAACATTGACTAACAAAAAGCGCTACCTCTTTCTTCATATTGTGCCACCAATAGTGTTGTTTCAATCCTCGATACATTCTTGTGCTACCAGGGTGCACAGAAAATGGTGTGTTATGGGCTTCTTCCAACACCTCCCTTCTAATGGAAGGATTTGAAGGAACACATAACCTATCTTGGAAAAGTAAAGCAAAATCTGAGGATAATGTAAAGTCAACCTTGCCAACCAAATTTCAAAACTCCACCAACTTCACATCTGTCTGTTGAGCATCAATAATCTTTTGTCTTAGAGTTGGTTTAACTGTAACTTGTGCTAACAATGCTTTAGCATCTCCAGGAATTATCTTAACTCCAAATTCTTCTAATTCATTTACCAATTCCTTTGAGGTGACAGTAATAGATGTCATATGAGATGTGTTTTTACTCAATGCATCGGCTACAACATTCGCCTTTCTTGGATGATAATTGATCTCACAATCGTAATCTTTCACAAGCTCTAACTATCATCGTTGCCTCAAATTTAGATCCTTTTGAGTAAAGAAATACTTAAGGCTCTTATGGTTAGTAAAGATCTTGATCTTTTCTCCATAAAGATAGTGTCGCCAAATTTTCAACGCAAAGACAACTGCTGCCAATTCAAGATCATGCGTGGGATAATTCAGCTTGTATCTCTTTAGCTAAAGCGAAGCGTATGCTATTACTTTACCATGTTGCATAAGGACACAACCTAGGCCTTTCTTGGAGGCGTCACTATAGATTATCATCCCTTCTGTTCCAATTGGTATTAGGACCGGTGCTGTAACTAATCTTTTCTTTATCTCTTGGAAGCTCGTCTCGCAATCATCACTCCACGTATAAGTAGCATTCTTTCGAGTAAGTTGAGTCAAAGGTGCTGCTAACTTTGAGAAGTCTTGTACGAATCTTCTGTAGTAGCTTGCAAGACCTAAAAAATTACGTATCTCTAATACGTCGGTAGACTAGGCCAATTGCTCACAGCTTAGATTTTTGATGGATCTATTAAGATTCCCTTTCCAGAGATAACATGTCCAAGAATCATACTCTATTAAGCCAAAACTCACACTTAGATAATTTAAGATAGAGTTGATTCTACCTTAGAGTTGTTAAAACTTTCGTGAGGTGTTTTTCATGTTGCTCCCTTGAGCTAGAGTACACAAGTATATCATCTATAAAGATTATAAACTTAACTCTCTCTCTCGATTTCTCTCAAGTCTCAACTTTTATGTCTTATCGTCTCACAACTCCAAGTGTGATTTGTTTATGCAAGGATATGCACAGCAGTGTATTTCCGATTGCAGCTCGAACTCGGCCTCCGGACCGATCTGAATACTTGGGGCGGACCTGCACAAAAAGGTGAGCACTCCGACGATCAAGTCAGTACAGGTCGGATTCTTAGTTTAGTTCGAGGTCAGAAATCATCGTACCTGATCGTGGAGTGAGGTCCTCTACTTATGGGTGGTAGTCCCGCTAATCTCGCGACGGTTACACCCGGTAATCTCGGGACCGTCGGTTACACCCGATAATCTCGGGACTGTTGGTTACACACGATAATCACGCCGCTGACAGCAGCTCACATCGGCCCCTACCGAGCTTCCCGGTAGGTCGGACCTTGGCCAGGTTCACCTCGGCCCTCATACTTAGCACCCATCAACGCTAACGGTGGTGATCTCGGCAGTCCGAGCTGGGCATGACTCATAAGTCATCTTGGAGAACCAATAGGGGTCCTCCACGTGTCCAGCGTATTCTTTCCCCCAAACATTGGCCCCCTCTCTGTCTGGTCCGATCTCGACCTGGCAGAGAAATTCATTCGACTTGCTTTGGACGCGTGGCGATTTCCTATTCGTGGGAAAATATAACCGTTGCGGTAGATTTATCGTCGGAATATTCAAATATTTCGACGCTTCGGATCTTAGGGAGGATCCTAGCCGCTCGTTTGATTACACGTGTACGGTGGGGAAATTTTTCCGGCGAGCTATAAATACCCCCAGTCCTTCAGGTCATACCTTACGTTCCCTGAATTCTTGGAGTTCGATCTGAAGGTAGCTCGAACCCTTGGTAGGTCG